GATTAGATGGGAAAAAAAAAATATGATATGAATGTATTCATGTTTTAATGGATGGACTATTGGTGTTGGTATGCAGGATTTAGTTTAAGGTGCAATCGTACGTGTTGTGGCGGGAGGTTGAATTGTCTGTGAGTAGGGAGAAAAGATCTTTCTTCCTTATACATTGTTTAACTTTTCTAGATATTGTTTTATCGTCCACTTTCAATATCCTACATTTCTTGTGGCCTTCGAGCATAACTGGGTTTAAATGATCTTTGAAATATGGAAATTTTGTCGTACAATGGATTTATGTTATGAACTTACAATGCTCCAATTCCAATAAATGTGCATTCATGGTGGTGCAGTTTGTCGGTAAATCCAGTGAGAGAATGGTGGAGTACTTGCAGAGCTCAGTAGGTATCATACACAAGAACCATGCTGAGAGTATAACCACATTTATCAAGGAGAGTGTGGATGAAGAACTGAAGGAGGACAATCCAAGGCCGGCCCAAAAGAAACGAATCACTTTGTGTGTTGAAGGAAATATAAGTGTTGGGAAGACTACGTTTCTGCAGAGGATAGCTAATGAGACGCTCGAACTTAGGGATCTTGTGGAAGTCGTGCCCGAGCCGATTGACAAGTGGCAGAATATTGGCCCCGATCACTTTAACATATTAGATGCTTTTTATGCCGAGCCTGAGAGATACGCATACACGTTCCAGAACTATGTGTTTGTCACTAGAGTTATGCAGGAGAGAGAGTCGTCTGGTGGGATTAAGCCCCTCAGGCTGATGGAGAGAAGTGTTTTCAGTGATAGGATGGTAAGTATTTAGCTTCTTCAGCTTTGTTAATAATTATTGAAAAAAAGAAAAGAAAGAAAGAACGAGAAAAAAAGGGCATGAAAAGAAGAAAATAGGAAGTGATTTGTGGCTTTTAGCCGAAGAAAAATTACTTTTAGGTGTTTGCGTATGACGGTTTTTGTGTTGTGCTTCATTTAATTCAAGCCGGTGTGTTATAGTGCTTGTTATTTGGAAAAAAAGTGATTTTAGTCATGGAGATTAACCCACAATCTTAAGTCCATCTTTCTTAAATCAATTACAATGTCCATATAAACGACATCATTATTTTTTTTTACGCGCATTTTATTGACATTCCTGCTTAAAGGTCTTTGTGAGAGCTGTTCATGAGGCAAAGTGGATGAATGAAATGGAGATCAGCATATACGACTCGTGGTTTGACCCGGTTGTCTCGAGCTTGCCTGGTCTTATTCCTGATGGCTTTATTTACCTCAGAGCAAGCCCCGACACTTGCCACAAGCGCATGATGTTGCGTAAGAGAGCTGAGGAGGGTGGGGTCTCGCTCGACTATTTGCACGATTTGCACGAAAAACACGAAAGCTGGCTTTTCCCTTTCCAGAGTGGAAATCACGGGGTGCTGTCCGTGAGTAAGCTCTCCAATAATATCGACTGGTCTTTGCATCCCAATATAAAGGATCGTGTTTTTTATTTGAATGGTGATCATATGCACTCGAGCATCCAAAAGGTATAATTATTTATTGTTTGTTATCATCATCATAATTATTATTATTATTCTCTATTGGGCTCTATTTGGTGAAAAGGTCCCGTTGTATGTTATCTTTAACTTACCCTTTATTTTACAATGAACAGGTTCCTGCTTTGGTTCTTGACTGTGAGCCGGATATTGATTTCAACCGGGATGTAGATGCCAAGCGAGAGTACGTTGTTTTTCGTTTTTTAATGATATGTGTGCTTTTGAAAAATTTCCACATTTTGCAGCAAAATCTGTCATATACTAGGAATAGGTTCTTCATATTTATTCTTCAAACTTGCTAATTGCATTGCAAGGGAGTAAAAATTATGAATCTCATTATAGATAGTTTTCCATTTAGTTATCCAAATGTACATCACACCCTTTGATCTGTATATCTTTCTCCTTTTCCATCTCATTCCTATAGTTCAATTAATTAATTTATCTTTTGTAATAACCATTGGCTGTGAAGGTATGCTCGTCAAGTTGCCGAGTTCTTTGAATTTGTGAAGAAAGAGAAGGAGGAAGTCCCTGCAAATGATGGTGGAGAAAAAGGTGCGAAGAGCAATAAAGGTCAGGTTTTGCTCCCTCCCCATGGGGATTTGTGGTTGCCCGGTACACAGCCATTCTCGGATTCTGCTCTAAAGTCACTCGATTTTAGACGAGCCATATCGTCTTTCATGCCACAGTAGTTTTTAGGTCATCTGATGTTTCTGGTTGACATATGTGTCCCAAGTGATGCTTTTTTTTTTTATTTTCCTTGTGTAAAAAGGGTGTGTGACTTGTTACATTAGTCTTTTCTTTAGTAAGTATTGTTAAGATTTGTTTTTTAGGTTGTGGTCCTTGTGGATTGCAGTTTGCTGTGTAGTGACACCTTTAGTTTGTGTGGGAATTTGTTCTATTACAAAATTCTGAATCTCTCTCTCTCTCTCTCTCTCTCTCTCTCTCTCTCTCTCTC